TGGGGGGGGGGGGGGAAATCGTGAAGACCCGAGAGGGTTTACGAAAGACAACAATTTTTAGTATTTCACTATAGTATATTCATTTTTCCCAATTTACCACATTTTTCTGCTAGAAAAATGTCTTTTCTGTCCTGGGAAATTCAGGGAAAATTCAGAAAAAATCGGATTATTTTCATGCAGAAAATTAGCACATGTTTAGTTCTTTGCTATTGTGCACTCTTTATCCCCATTCCATCCTATTGGTCTGCTGGATAAACGCCCCAAACTCAAAAATCGATTTTTTAGCCAAAATATTTCAACAGAATTTTTTTTTTCTGCAGAAAAAAAGCACATAGAAAGGACATATTTTTTAGCTCATCGCCGACGCGACCCCATTCCGCCTCGGGTCTGATAATTTTCTGGGACTATCCTTTTTTCCATTTACGGTATATCCCTAGAAAACACGTTTTTCTTGAGATTGTCCCCATGTTTGTTACACACAATGTTCCTAATAGTTCGCAGCTATTGAAAAAAATTCGAACTAGCTGTACTGCACAGTTTAGGAAATAATAAATAATGAAAGGCGGACTTTCAACACGCGAGGAAACAGCCAAAGGGGGTTTATGGTTTCCCTCCTAACCGATTTTTCCCTGTTGTGAGAAAACGGCTCTTACGATGTTTTTAAAAAACTAATCCGTGATTGGTCAATTCCGAACACGGTGAATTTTTTACAAAATTTTGTACTACACAGTTTCTCCGAATATTGAATTTAAAAAAATGGAAATTTCGTGGAAGGATTTCTTATTTGATTCAAACTATTATGGTTGCCAACACCATAATAGCATGTGTAACACGCATCAACAAAATATGAGGATAGAAAAATGCATTATCTTATGAGAATGTAATAAATTAGAATCATTTAGAATTTTTTCCGGAAATCCATAGAGACTAACTTTTGGATGTTATTGTCTTGGGATATACCCAAGACAATAATTCTTCCTTAAGGTGAAAGGATGATGGCATTATATACCTAATCTACTGCAATCAATTCCATCCTTTGATATTGAATGCGAGTAGAGATATAAATTTTTTACGTTGACTCTGATTTTCAGGGTCACTTTGTGTGTAGTAACCAAATGGCTCTGAAGGAGTAATTTTTTTTCAGATCATTATATATTAAATGTCCAATAGATTGACATTATTTTAATTCCTTCAGCCCAGAGAGAGATATCAATTTCCAAAAAGAGGCCGATTTGTGGTTGACTTGTTTTGTTGACAAATCTTAGGTGTATGACTTAACTCTCGGCCGCTAGATTAAGTTGATTAGAACATCTATTTGAATTAAATAATTTTCCTACAATAAAATGCGTTTTGAAGCGCCATCTGTGAACTATCAAACTACTCAAGTCCGATTGTGGTCTGATTAACACAACCTCAAACCTCGCGTTGAAAAAGAATTGGGAGGATACAGAAGGAAGGTCATTGGATGCCCCATCATCTTACCTCAGAAAACAAAAGTGGACACTGTGAAATTGCCATGTGCTTACTGACCAGATTCAAACAAAAAGACTTGTAATATGAAATTGTGACTGGGGGTAAAAAGTAGATATTTTACGACAATCCTAAGAGGCGAAAGTCGTGGGTTTATCCGGGGGGGCCGTCAGCGAGTACTGCAAAATCAAACATTCACAGGAAAAAATTGTTGTTGGGTATTTGGTGGGATTCCAAAGGTGTAATCTATTATGAGCTACTCGAACAGGGGGACACGTAAGGCAAGTAATTTTGCTGCAGGACAACGCGCGGCCGCACACAGCAAAAGAAACTCTGAAAGTTATCTCCACGTTGGGCTGGGAAATTCTCCCACATACGGCGTATTCTCCAGACCGAGCGCCTATTGACTATCACCTTTTTCGGGCGCTACAACATTACCCATTCCTACATGGATACCCACTTCCAATCTCCTGAAGAAGTCCGGCAGGGCATTGGTGACTTTATCCAGTCAACACCACCATCTTTTTTCCGAGCCGGAATCCGACAATTGCCCCATAGATGGGAGAAATGCATGCAAAGTGACGGTGATTATTTCCAAGATTAAATCTGGATTCATTTTTTTATGAAGAAATGTCGAAATAGTAAAAAAAAAGGCCGAGAATTAAGTCATACACCTACTAACTCCTTAACAAAGCGCCGCAGACAAAAGAAGCTGGAGCTTGTCGTCTCCAAATAACTCCACTAGTCTATCCTCACGATATGAACGATGAGTTTCGGGACACTCTGTATACAATACATCAATTACATATGTAAAATATATAATTCTCATAGTATATATTTTTCCGTCCGGGTATCCCAATTAGTCTTAGTCAAAGAATACAAATATATGGACCTACATTACTTATACTTTTGTCTGTGTTCAAATATTTTTTCAAGTGTTGTCAAGTGGCTCAAGTGTTTTAAGTTCAAATTATAAAGATTCTATCATTTTTTTTGTACGAACCTCAGCGATATTGTTAAGCAGACCTAAAACTTTGGTTTCGATACTGGATTCACCCTGGAAACTTTCAAGCACCTCCAAGAACAAATCCATTCCACCTTCTTCTAAGAAAACTTTACAAGTTGTTGCGCTCTCATCCGTTAAATTCCACAAGGCACTCAGTGTAAATCTCATCGTAATATCAACTGATTTTGATTCAATTTTTGATCTGACCATTGAGAGTAATTTAGACATATATTGCGGCTTTGCTCCCAACATTGACGTTTCCACTGTTGATATTTTAGCTGCTAGAATTGAACATATTGCCACAGACATCCGATTCATTGACGGATCGTCGAAAGCTGAGAGACAGTTCATCACCAGTTTCGCACATCTATATTAAAAAATAGTAGAACATGAATGTCAGATGATAAGTAAAAGGTGAATTCGCAACATGCAGTAGTGAAGTAGCGTAGGAAATGAGTTGAAATATATTCTTCTCAAATTTATTCCACTAAAACTCTTTTCTCTAAATACATTTGCAATAGGTATGCCACTTATGGATGAAACTCATTTCGCTATTCATCTTGAAAATGAGTAATTATAAGATAATTTTCCATTCTTGAAACTTGAAGTATCGAGTTGAACCATTGTAAATTTCTTTGTGCGAATCCACCAATTCTGTATATGAAAAATTGCCTGCAGTTTTTTCAACTTTTTTGCTTTTTTTTATCGGAAAGTATAGTCCATTATAGGAATAATGAGCACAGCCAAAGCCCTTTCATCCCATTATTGATGGAGATATTGGAAAATTATTGTTCCTATAAACTTTGTTTTTCAATTCTAATTATGAGCCACTGTCAATAGAAAAAAAAAATGAACTCATAGATTCTATCAGAAATTTTCTTAACTTTTCGAAAAACATCGTTTTTTCTGCATGTATGTATTTTGGCATGAAAAACTCAAAGGGAAAGTTTGAAACGGTTATCTGGGACCATTTTCCACTCCTTTTTGTTTTTTTTTTATCATAAAGTCTAGAAAATTTCGTAATCAGAACATATTTTTATTTTTACTGAAGAATTTTCTGAGAAAACCAAAATTTCCCTCCTTCCAAAAAAATTTTTCTTTTATATCTCGAAATGTGAGGGAGATATTTGAAAAAATTTTGAAGCGATCTTGCTTCAGATATAGCTATATATCTATCAGTTAAATGGTTGGATCTATCAGCAATCCTCGAGTATCATCGAGAACCTTTGGTTTAACAATCAAACTATCGCGAAACCCCCAAAACTCATCAGATGATTAGCATTACTATGATCAATATATAGGTCAAAGTACATCAGCAAGAGTAGTAGGCTCTCAACGCGTATAACTCGCAGCAATTCAACATATTGTATAAATGCAGTACATCAACGAAAAGTTTATGAACGTAGATAATTATTAATGACAATTATCCAGTGAATTATCAGTATATTATCAATTGAATTGAATAATATTCATTCACGAAACTCACCGAAGTAATATCAAGTACAATGGACCCAGTGTGAGTAAGATCGAAATGAGTGAGTCGAGTCCACGAATGAATGTAATTTTAGTCAACTCGTATCCATTTAATTTTGCTATCACACACTCTCAAATGTTAAAATACCTCTCAAATCCTTTCTAAATTCATCTTCGCAATAAACAGATCTTTGTTACTAGAGCATGGTGAGATGTACAAAAAAAACTTATATGAAAATTTTTCCATCTACCGTAGATTCAAAGATATTCATTAAAAAGTTATCTCCCAATTCAGTTGCCAACTAGTTTTTCCAGCATAACTCAGGATCGATGCAAATTAGCCATTCGTTGGAAAGGACCTTCCTTGTGTAAAACGAGATCCTTAAAAAAGATTATTATAAAAATCTAAATCTAAAAATAAATCCAATCTAAAAACTAATTTGTGGGTTTGATTAATATATCTTGTTTCATGTCTTCACGACTGTACATGAGCACAAATTGGAAAAATCGACGTTTGCCTACCAAACGTACCCTGCATGAAATTTGCAAGATCCTACAATATCGGAACTTGTTTGCCAATTGCGAATTAAAAGCTCTTTCGCACATCATATATAATGATAATGACTAGGTAGATGACCCGGAACTCCGGATTTCACCACTTTCTTTGTACAGGCGAATATTCTTTTTAATTTAATCAAATATAGTTTTTCTATAAATTTAAGAGTATGGTAAGCCATTCGAGCCTTACCAGGTCTTAGCGTTACACAGGACCCACAACGGGGACGTGACTGGCTTAGGATTCCAAAAATCTCCAAATAAAAACTTTATATTGCGATGTAAAATAACGATAAAAAAAATTTGCAGGTCATGTGCCAGAAAACTTGGAGAAACCATCATCTTAACGAAAATGAGCTGAAAAATACCTTGCGTGAACTTCCCCCATATTGTCGATATCGAATTTTTTCCCGCAAAACATGCGTTTTGATGACCCTGTAAAGAAATGTGTGTAAAGAATGTTCAATTTCATTTTTGATGGAATCGGTACCTCAAAAAATAATAAAATTGGACGATTTTTGTGTACAATAGAGGTTCCTTCCCAATATAAAATTTATATTAGGGGATTTTCTCGATTCTATGTCAGCTACATGTCCGTCGTGGATCCTGGCTAACACTAAAAGTTGGTACAGGGTGATAAATGGGAATAGGTGATAACTTTTCCCCTATATTTCCTTCTCCACTTTGTCACCAGGGATCGGGCTGTTGTAGGTTAAAACTTGAAGCCTGGTAAATTCTGTTGGGACACTCCGGGGTATAGTTCATATTCTCCAAAATTGGTGAGCTTACTGTCGAAGAAAAAGTGTATCTCATTAAGTGCTATTATTCTCGAGGAAAAAATTACACAAATGCGCATAGAGGCCTTCGTAGTAAATTTGGCAGTCACAGAATTGGGAGTGAAACCACTCTCAAACGGTAGGAATTTTTTAGTTCTCATGTACGATTTTTTTTTTAGGTTAGTCCCCAATAAATTTTTTGAGTCAATGTATTTTATTTGTAGGGTAATTGATAATTTTGTCAACTATGGTAACCTACAGGATCGTCGCTATGATCTTCCGGGTCTATCTTATAAAGTAACGACGGAAGAAGTAGTGGACAAGGTGGAAAAACATTTCAAAAATAGTAGATAGGGTGGACGGATTCTGTGTAGTAGTTCGCCAAATCGCCATTAGATGCGCCATAAGTCGTGGAAGGTTCTGGAATGGTGGCGCCACCATCGCGGTAGGTTCTAGAATGATGTCGTCATCGATGAGTCATTCTGACTGATGACTCATCAAGTCAGGCGGTGGTGGGGTACTTTCTCGAATTTTCTAGGCGGATGACGTCATCGATGAGTCATTCTCATCAACTCGGGGGCGCGGTGGGGGTACTTCCTGAGTCCTGCTGGGACTTGTATGGAATATGATACTAGTGGCGGTGCCACTGTCATGGAATTTTCTAGACGGATGACGTTATCGATGAGTCATCGACTCGCTCGGTGGGGGAATCCCTCTAAGACCTGTTGGGACTTGTATGAAATATAATGACTTGTTGAAACTTGCATGAAATAGGATATTGGCGCCACTAGGTGTGGAAGGTTCGAGACGGATGACGGCATCGATGAGTCATCGACTCGCATGGTGGGGGAACCGTCCTGGTGGGGCTTGTATGAAATATAATACTATGAAAACCTGTGGACACATGGATACAATGGGATATTGCCGCCACAATCGCGGAAATTTCGAGATGAATGACGCCATCGATGAGTCCCTCGGGCTGATGACTCATTTACTTGCACGGTGTGGGAACTCCCCGTAAGTTCTAAACATGTGCAAATATTTAACAACATTTGCAAACATTTTGCAAACATTTGACATTTTCAAACAATTGCAAACATATGCAAACAATTGCAAATGTTTGACGATATTTAGAAACATTTTGCACGCATTTGACAACATTCGCAAACATTTGCAAACATCTGCGAACGTTTTCAAATGTATGCAAACATATGCAAACAATTGCAAACATTGCAAACAATTGCAACAGTTAACAACATTTGCAAACATATGCAAACATTTGACAAAATTTGCAAACATTTTGACAACATTTGCAAACATTTTGCAAATATTTGATAACATTCGCAAACATTTGAAAACATTCGCAAACATTTGCAAACATTCTGCAAACATTTGCAAACATTTACAAATATATGCAAACATGTGCAAGTATGTGAAAACAATGGTTGAATATTTTCAAGATGAATGACATCGGTGAGTGACTCAGACTGAGAACTCATCGATGTGCGAGGTGGGGGTTTCCTGTAAGTCCTACTGAGACTTCTACATTCGCGAAGGATGACGTCATCGATGACTCATCACGCGGTGGGGGGTACTTCCTAAGTCCTATTGGGAGTTGTCTGGAATATGATACTAGCGGTGGCGCCACCGTCATGGAATTTTCTAGATGGATGATGTCATCGATGAGTCATTCGGAGCGTTGGCTGATGACTCATGGATTCGTGTTGGGACTTATATGATACCAAAATGACCGATTGAAACTTGTAAGAAATTGGATATTGGCGCTACGATTACGGAACGTTCGCGAAGGATGTCATCAATGACTCATCGGTTCATGGGGTGGGGGTGTCGGCTGAGTTCTGTTGAGACTTGCGTGAAATAGGATACCCGATTGGTCTAGAATATTCTCGATGGTTCCCGACTGTTCCATGATGAATCATCCATTGGGAGTTGGAGTGGAGATAACTCGTGTACTCTGAACGATCCACACTCAATACAAAGTCAAGTTAAGTTAACTGAATCTCAACTCGTAGCATGAAGTTTAACTCATGGTTTTTGAAATCGTTATAATATCGTTTTCAATAGTTTTACAATTCTTCGAAATTTGCTATTACTCAGGTTGCTCGAGATCATGATCGTTTCAGACGTCGAATAAGTTCATGTGAAGAAATATTGAACCCTATATTATCAAATCAACATAGACAAACTCTTTTTGAAACTCGTTTCACATAGTTCTGAGTTATGTTTTATGAGAAAAGGATGTATATGGGGTATTCCATGCGAATTCACCCAGGTCAAAACCCTCACCATCGCCAATCATATTGCCGATTTTTCCTGTGGTTGTATATGGAAAAATATGACTTCTCAAATTTTTTCAGATTTTTTGAGGCATCCTGTGGGCAGCCATGTTTTTTTGCAAGTTTTATCTTCAAATGCCTGTAATTTCCGTAAAAATCAACCAATTTAAGTTTTTTTTTTGCAAAATGTGCATCTTCGAACACACTTTCCATATAAAAATATGCCAATTTTTTTCAATTCGTTCTTCCATCGATTTTCTCAGAAAA